GTGGAAGTAAGCCTGAGAGAATAGGGAGGAGGGGTCTCTGCCATCCCTTCCCCATAAGCATCTCCTGTGTGCCCCACACTGCGCGGGGATTTAAGTGCCTCAGGGTTGAGGGAGAATTCGAGAGAGGCTGGGCTCAAAGGCTGGCTCACTCTTCACATGGGACGGTGACCTTGAGCCAGCTGACATGTCGACCTGTCCCTGCTGTTTGGAAAGAAAGCGAATGAAAAGCTCTCGAAAGCCTCTCTCATGTCAGGCCCTGTGCCAAGGGGCTCCACTTGCTCCTCAGTGACCTGGGGATTGTGAGCAGTCTCGTGTGCCTTGTACGGAGCAGGAGACAGTCTCGGAGCGTCCTTGAGCTGTGCAGGGCCACACGGCCCCTGTGTCCTGGCCGCCTGGCCTCAGGACGATGGATATCTTTCGGCTGCACCACAGGGACAAGACTCCAGAGCCTGCTGGCCTGCGGCTGCTGGGATCAACAGGGGAGACACTGGATTTATTTGAAAGTGGCTGGTGAACCTTAAATGGCATTGAACATGCAGATGCCTCTTCTGACAGGGCTCGCAGGCCTTGGGAAGCTTTCCAACACGTAGAAGGAACAAGAGAGTGCTGGTCACAGAAACGGATGCCCGGCAACCCAGTTGCCGCGAAGGGCTGTCTGGAGACAGCCCCATCTAGAGCTTTGGTTTGGTGACTCAGATGGTAAAGAATCTGCCTGCAATGTTGGAGACCTGGGGCTAGATCCCTAGGTTGGGAAGGTCCCCTGGAAGAGGGCAAGGCACCCCACTCCAGTATTCTGGCCTGGAGAATTCCATGGACTATTCTATGGGGTTGCAAAGAGTCAGACACGACTGAGTGACTTTCACTCACTGAGGAAGAAGAAAGATAGGAGAGGAGAGGAAAGAGATGGAAAGGATAGACTCATGTACCCCCATTAAGTTGGGGTTTCCCGAGAGTGACTCCTGCGTCACGTCTGTTCGCCGGTGGATTGTACACGATCCCCATGCTGATGCACAGACTTGGTAGGGATTTATTCAACAGGCATGTGCTTAGCACAGCAGACCTTTGATTTGCCGGATATTAATTCTTAGGAAGCTGCAGTAACTGTCCACAAGTGATTCACAGGACTGAACAAATGACAGGTGCCCGGCTCAGGGCTAGGGAAGAAAACTGAAGTTTGGAAACCATAGCACTAAATCAGCTCACCTCCGCCCCCACCAAGAAGCATTGCCTCCAGAGGAGACTGATACCCCCAACCCAGCGTTGCCAGATTTAGCTAATAAAAACACATGCCACTATGTAGATCTGAGTTCCGGTTAAACAACGAATACTTGATTTAGTGTACATAAGTCCCATGCAATATCTGGGACATTCCTCACTGTAAAGGGCCAGGTAGCTGTTTGTGGAATTGAGTTGTTTGCCCCCACCCCCCACCGGGCCTGGACCTGTAGGGAGGGGCTTACTCACAAAGGATGCTCACACTTATCTGGTTTCTCAGATGTTACTTCCTTTAATTAAACTGCTGAGATGAAATAAAGTGTGTGGGAAAGATTAAAATTGATTCCCTTAGCTTAACAAAGGCCAGAGCTGTTGAGAGGGATGCTTAAGCAAACAGCACACTTCAGCGGATGAAGAGTACAGCCTGACTCCAGCTCAGAGCGGGGGGCGGAGGGGAGAGGCACAGCCGGTACTCAGGGAAAGCGTGAGGACCCAGAACAGCGGGCTGGAGCGGGCTGGCATCGCACGCTGCTCTCAGTAAGGCCCTAGTGCCCGCCTGAGAAGGTCTTCTTAACACAGCTTTGCTTCTCAGCGTCGGGGAACACCAGCTGGGAGAGAGGCACAGTGGGAAGAGGCAAAATCCACACCTCCTGTGAATAAGCACTTATTGAGCTCTTACTGTGTGCCAAGCCTCAAATCAGACATCGGGTCTTCCCTTAAGTTCTTTACAAGGAGTCCAACTGAGGCTACCTAAGCTTCCCAGGAGGCGCTAGTGGTAAAGAACCTGCCAACAGAAGGTGTAAGAGGCACTGGTTCAATCCCTGGCTTGGGAAGATCCCCTGGAGTAGGAAATGGCAACCCACTGCAGTATTCTTGCCTGGAGAAGTCCATAGACAGAGGAGCCTGGCAGGCTGCAGTCCATGGGGTTGCAAAGAGTCAGACACGACTGAAGTGACTTAGCACATACAAGTTCCCAGGGATTTTTCAACTGGGGAGCTCAAAGATATGGAAAGATAGAGAAAATTGTGGATATTGCTGGTGGCATTGAAAAGCAATGCTGATGACCGATGACGCTGATGACTATAGAAATATGGAGGGCAATCCTGGGCTAGGATTCCCTTTTTATATGCAAGAAAACTAAGGGACAAAAGTTTAATGGATTTTTGCCCCCGGTTCTTAACAACAGTGGAAAATGTGCTTCTACATGTAATTTGGGAAGTAATTTCCTGAGAAAAATTTAAATAGGCCTCTAATAATAAGCTGATGTAACCCAGACTCCTCTGGAACCTGACCTACAGTTTTACTTATTTTTTCTGCCTTCATGGGAGGTAATAGATCTTCTGAGGTTTTGCTATAGATTTATTCCCAAGACGCAGGACTGAAATAGCGTGAAATAAAACCCAAAACAATGAATTTTGAAACCAGGCCACTATTTGAAAGCTTTTTTTTTTTCTCTCCTAAAGTAACAGAAAAATACCTTAATAAAATGAATGTGTTCTTTTAATCAATTAAAAGCAAAGTTTATTGGGGGATTTGCTTGAGTTCATGTGCCATGAAAGTAGCAAAGCCAGAGTGTCTACCCAAGTCTGATGGTCTTTGAAACCTTCGACCATAGGGTTATGTTGCCTGCAGGGTTGTAGGGGTTATTGAGGTTTTTAATCCGGGAGGAATACACAAGCAAAAAGCTGAGGGAACGTTTACCTGGGGCCAGGTCTGGGGCCAGTTTAGAAGTTAATGCAGGGAGGAGAATGCCAGCCCAGGACCCCAGGAGTGAGCAGGTGGGGACGAAGGTTAGGGAGCCGATGGAGGGGGAGGAAGGTGAGACTTCCTGGAGAGAGAGAGTGAGTGTGTGTGTGTGTGTGTGTTCTCAGTCCATGGAATTCTCCAGGCAAGAATACTGGAGGGGGTTGCCACTGGGGATCTTCCTATCCCAGGGATCAAACCCGGGTCTCTGGCATCAGGGGGACAAAGGCAGAGTTGATGATGAGGGTGGATTTTCAGAGCTGGTTGCTACAGGCAGGGCTAGGGAGAAACAGCAGGATGGGGCTCTGAGCACGCTGGATTTGAAACCAGACAGCAGCCCAGTAGCAGGCAGCGTTAGGACCTCGGAGCCTGACTCGGGTTTACACTCCCGCTGTCCCCTTCACTAGCCTCTGTAACCACCAACTGTTTACTTAACCTCTCTGAGTCTCCATCTTTTCTCTGGTCGGATTCAGAGCAAATGATCCCTACTTGGCAGAATGCGGAGGATATTAAATAGGGAAAACTAAAGGGACAAACAAGGTGCTTGGCAGACAGTCAGCATCTGGTCAGAAGTGGCTTGAAATTTGGGGCTCCAGGCTGCTGTCATGTGTTGGCCCCCCTGAGCTGAAGCAGAAATGGTCCTGGAGCTAGGACTGGGGGGAGGACTGGTGTCTGACTCTCATTCATTGGATTAATTTTTATTGAATTCCCACTGTGTACTGGGCCTTGGAGACAAGGTGTGGAGAGGCTGGAGGGAAAACTCACTCATAGCCCGAGGTGGAGCCCACTGAGCAGCCGAGAGCGGGAAGCACTCTGTCTTTCTTTGGCTCCGTGTCCCAGCGCAGAGCCTGGCGCACAGGAGGTGTGCGGGAAACGTTGGATGGGGTCGCGGAGGCGAAGATGCCATGGTCCTTCTCTGAACACATCAACACTGGAGCAGAGGGGAGACAGAAAGACTGAATTTATAACCACTTTCTATTCTGGAAACTCTCTGGTTGCAGGTGAGAGGTTAAAGAAAAGACAGGAAACTGGGGACCAGGGTTTTGGTTCTCGGGCTCATCACCACATCTTCTTTTCCTCTCTTTTTCTTCCAAATCCGTGTTTGGCTCACCTTTTCCAAACCCTGCTTTAAAAAGCGCTGGAAAACACCCCAGGGGTGACCATGTGCCATCAGCATAGACGGATGCCGGGAAGAAGGAAGAGGGGCCAGAAATAATTGGTGTTACAGGGCTGCCCTTCAAGACCACAGTGGGCTGTGACCCTGGGCAGCCCCCTCTGGTCACCCATCAATGAATGTAGAAAAAGCACCAAACCCTCTGAGTTTAAAAGTACCCCAGCTGACCCTGCAGCAGCTTCCTGGGCAACCCCTTCTGGTCTTGTGACATATTTATGTTTATTGGAAGGCTAGTTTTTTCTTCTTCTATTTTTTCATCCTTTCATTAAAAAATACGTTCTTCTATTACCAAATAAAATCACCTTCTTGTCCTGAAAATCCCAGCAATATATTATTCTTTTATCAGTAGGCTAGTTTTCTTGTTTATTGATAATGATGTTTACACTAAGGCAATGTAAGAGTACATGCTTAAGGTAACAAACGTAATGATGTAGAAGTATAACAGGAAAATTAATGGAACAGTGCCTTCACATCTCATCTTTCCCCCAGTTTCACCTGCATCCAGGCCTCTGAAATGGCTTTTGTTTTCTAGATAAGGAGACCCTCGGGAACTTCACAGACCCACCCCTCAAAGCCCTTGTTCGGTTGAGGGAGGTGGCCCTTTCTAGTGACAGGGTCATGGGCTAAGGATCCGGATTGGATGGTTGGTTCTGCCATTGATTTGCTGTGTGACCCTCAGGCATTCACGTAACCTCTTTGAGTCTCTTGCTGTGTGACCCTCAAGCACCCACATAACCTCTCTGAGCCTCAGTGACCTCCTTCCTGGGCTATCCAGGAGGAAAATTGGGATCTGGACTCTGAAGAGCCCGACATGAGTCAGTGTCCTGCAGACAGCCCAGGTGACTGTATTGTGTGGTGGTCTTGGCAGGTCGGGGACCAGATTCTGGAGGTGAATGGGCGGAGCTTTCTCAACATCCTGCACGACGAGGCGGTCAGGCTGCTCAAGTCATCCCAGCATCTCATCCTGACCGTGAAGGATGTCGGGCGGCTGCCCCACGCCCGCACCACCGTGGACGAGACCAAGTGGATCGCCAGTTCCCGGATCGGGGACGCTGCCGCCAGCTGCCCAGGGTGCGGCCGAGCTGCTCTCTCATCTGAGCCCCAGGACCCCCAGGGCCCTCAGGGCCGTTCCTGAAGTAACAGCCCCTTCCATCCCTGCACATGCTCTGTGCCCCGATCTGTGAAGACTGCCCCGGTTCCCTGAGCCTGAAGTCCCACCCCAGGGTCCCTCCCGTGTGCGGGGCCTGACCGTGGGCACATCCCCTTTGCTCTTCTGGCCTCAGTTTTCCTTGGAAAGCTGAGCCGCAGCATCCAGTCCTCTCGCTCTGTACTTGCCGTTTAGCAAATCTCGTAACTTCCTTTTTGGCCCTTAGTTGCTTTGTCTGAAAAGTGGGACTCCTAACTGCAGCCCCCATTCCAGATGTGTGAAAGAGGATCCCATGAGTGACTTGCATGAAAGGGTCTTGGGAGTCATAACGTGAGATACAGTTGCCAGGTGGCTGCATAGCTGCTAATAATGTGTCACCTTTGGATTTCCATTTGAAGTCTCAAACCAGCCAGTAGCCCCCAAGCCAAACACACCCAGAGCATCTATTTCTCCCTTTTTTCATCCCCTCCTTTCTTTCTTCCTTNGGGGGGGGGGGGGGGGGGGGGGGGGGGGGGGGGGGGGGGGGGGGGGGGGGGGGGGGGGGGGGGGGGGGGGGGGGGGGGTGCAGGACGCCTGGATTTCTGGCTGCTTCTTGAAAATCAGGGATTCTGGAAGCTTGAGACCACATTTTTTAAAAATGGAAACAGACTGGAAGACAGCTGTACCCGCAAGTTGTTTCTTAACATCTGCAGTTGACCCTGTCCTCACCCTCCCTAGACTGGCCTGACCCCGAGTCCACATGGCAGTTATTTAGTCTCTTCTCTGCGTGTTACCTGACCGGCCCTATAGGGCATGAAACAGCAGACCACCTTGCCTGGTTTTAGAAGTACCATCCACATGGTTGGACAGGAGTTCAGAAACTGCCCATCTGTCCCGGGCCTGATATTCCCTGGAGTGGCCCCAGTGAGCGCAGCCCGTGGTTCTCCCAAAACTTCCTTCCTCTCGCTGCAAAGCAGCCATTCCCTGGCCTGTGACTGAACTTCTCAGACATCAGGCTGAACGTGCTTCTCTTTCTTCTTAGGTTTCCCGGGGATCTCACAGGAGAAGGGACCAACAAGGTAGGCTGCTCTCTGTCTGCGGGTATCTTTGACTTCTTCACTGGTTCCCGAGTGGGGAGCTCTGGGCCCAGCAGGGTGGGCAGCCGACTGACTGCCTGAGTAGACTCTTTCCCACACACGTGGGAAGGTTCCAGGCCGCCAGGTTCCAGGCACCACCCTGGACCCCGGAGTTAGCGGCACGAACAGCACAAATCAGGTCCCCACTCTGGTGGGGGTTACACCCAATAAAGGAGACACACATCAAAGCAAAGCAAACCTGCATGCATATATCATCATCAAAGATGTTCAGTGCCTTCCAGGAAAGGTGCCAGGTCTTAGGAGAGAGAATGGCAGATGTTTGGGTGCAGGGAGGGCAGCGGGAGAGGGCAAAGGCTCTGTAAGGTGGCAACTCAGCGTCTGGGCTGTAAGTTGAACATGAAGTGAAGGTTAGTGAGATCAGAGTCTGGGCAGGAGCTGGAAGGGAGGATGCAGTCAGAAGGCACAGCAGGTGCCAGGGTCCTGGGGCAGGTGCCAGGGTCCTGGGGCAGGCGCCACGTGTGGCTTGTGGGTGGGATCGTTAGATCCCACAGGACTTAGTGAGCCGTGGAAGAGGTTTGTCTGCTAAGCTGAAACGATGGGGTGCCATTGAAGGGCTTCACCAGGGGGGCAACGTGAGATCTATACTTTCATAGATGAATAGATCAATAGGTCAATTCAGCAGATGTGTAGGCGACAGGGAGAGGCAGCGGGGACAAGCAGGGAGACCGGGGGGCCTCCTAGACACGGTTGATGGTGGTGGAGGCCATGCTGGGAGGTGTGGGTGTGTGCAGGTCTGAGCCACGTTTCAGAAATAGCATTACTGTTATCCCTAATGTACTCAGAGAGGAGAGACGGCAACCTGACCAGTAAAATGGGAAGCGTAACAATACTGCTTGACCCTGAATGGTGAGGGGGCTCTGATGAGATGACACGTGTGAAAGTGCCATGTGAGCCAGACAAGCACTTTGCAGCTGCAGGAGACCCAGTGGCCTGAGAACGTCCGGGACACCTGCAGCTTTACCTGTGGCCAGAGACCTCAGAGGGACCCCACCCCACCGGTCTGCAGGGCGGTAGCTGGCTCAGCTTCCAGAGCAGACCTGCACCCCCGGGGCCTCTGTCTCGCTGTCTTTCAGCTGGGGTTTTACAAGGGGCCAGCCGGCTCCCAGGTGACCCTGAGCAGCCTGGGGAACCAGACGCGGGTGCTGCTGGAGGAGCAGGCGCGGCACCTGCTGACCGAGCAGGAGCGTGCCACCCTGGCCTACTACCTGGAGGAGTACCGCGGCGGCAGCGTGTCCGTGGAGGCCCTAGTCATGGCCCTGTTCGAGCTGCTCAACACCCATGCCAAGGTGACCCGCGCCTCCTTGGGCAAGGCGGGGCTGGAGGGGCCTGGCTTCAGCTCCCGGGGGTTCTGCATCCTTCCCTGCCTCCCTCTGAACCCCACTCCTTTACTGAGAACCCACAAGGAGTCAGACCCAAACTGAAGCCTGGGCAGAGACTGGTGACTGAGACAGCCCCCACCCCCACCCCCGAAGCCCTCAGACTCTGAAGGGAATAGTCCACGTTCCTTGTACTTGGGGTCCCAATGTAGCAGCTTATTATGCTGGGTGTACATTTAGAATCGTCTGGATAGCTCTTAAAAAGCAATTCCCCGGGCCACGGCCCAGGCTGGCTAACTCCACATGTTTCACAAGACCCCAAGTGACCAAACCGTGCTACCCTCTTAGAGAACGCTGCTCTAGTGGAAGAGCCTGTTTGAGGTTCAAAAGCTGCACCAAGGAAGAAGTGATTAAATCCACTGGGAGTGGTTACCTTTGGGAAGACCTAACAGAAGGAAGTCAGTTTGGAGAGAAGGAGGGGGAAGGGACAGCCAAGGGCTTTCTGTTTAGGGACTTGGAGCTGGACGTGAAGGGTGAGATGTTAGGGAAGAAAAAGTGAGTGGGGAGCAGGGGTCGATGATGCTGGTCCCGGTATCTAGGTGTTTGGAATTTGTCCTAGGACAGTGAGGAGCCTCGGAGGGTTAAGGAGGGGAAGGCAGTGGCCAAGTTTGCATGAAGGTTGTTTGGGGTAGCAAGGGTTTCCCAGGTAGCGTTAGTGGTAAAGAACCCACCTGCCAATGTAGCAAGAGATGTGGGTTCGATCCCTGGGTGGAGAAGCTCCTTTGGAGGAGGGCATGGCAACCCACTCCAGTGTTCATGCCTGGAGAATCCCATGGACAGAGGAGCCTGGTGGGCCACAGTCCATTGAGTCGGACACGACTAAAGCAACTTAGCACGCACACCTGCATTTGGGGTGGCAGAGGGCTGTCCCACCTGCGGGTGGAGCTCCCTGCCGAGTGCCCGGCTTGTCCCGGCCTCCAGTTCTCGCTCCTCTCCGAGGTGAGAGGCACCATCTCCCCCCAAGACCTGGACCGCTTCGACCACCTGGTGCTGAGACGGGAGATCGAGTCCATGAAGGCGCGGCAGCCCCCGGGTCCTGCAGGCGGGGACACCTACTCCACGGTCTCCTATAGCGACACGGGCTCGTCCACAGGCAGCCACGGCACCTCCACCACCGTCAGCTCGGCCAGGGTGAGCAGCCCCTGCCCCATGCCTGACCTCATAGCCAGCAAGGGAGTTAAGACCCGTCTGGGTTCGAATCCAGCCCTGGGAGTCTGCTGGGACTCGACTCCTGGCCAGCTCGGGGCCTTGCCTTTCATAGTCTCGGTTTCTTCACCTGTGAAAATCTCCTGATTGCTAGGAGCCTCCTGTGTGCCAGGCATGGGCTCTCGGACACAATGGAACAAGACGGATTGACCCTGCCTCGGGGGTTCACAGGCTGTGGGATGGGATGCAGTGGGTGGGCTGGGGAAGAAAGGCCAAAAAACGCAGGTAGTGAGACAAATGGGCTTCTTGGTAGCTCAGATGGTAAAGAATCTCCCTTCAGTGCAGGAGACCCAGGTTCAATCCCCTGGAGAAGGGAATGGCAACCCACTCCAGTATTCTTGCCTGGAGAGTTCCCTGGATGGAGTAGCCTGCTGGGCTACAGTCCATGGGGTCAAAAAGAGTCGGACACGACTGAGTGACTAACCCTTTTTCTTAACGAGGCAAATAGAACCAGTAGTGGGAGGATCCCATGAGACTGATCATGTTGGTGGTCTCCTTCATGGATCGTGGTGACTGGGATCTTCCCTGAGACACCGCCTCCTGATTCTCTGGAGCCCCAGAGCCCAGTCTGACTTTCTCCCAGACTCACCAGCCCCCAGAAAGGCATCTGGACCGCCTCAGGGTGGGGCTCTGCCCCCAGGATGCTCAGAGGCAGATGAACCCTGGGAGGCCTTGGGGAGGAAAGGACAGAGGAAGTGCCTCATTATCCATCGCAGGACACAGCCAGTTACTGAGACTGATGCAATGGGAAAAGTCAGAGCTGGAGGTCAGGAGAGCCGGCTCGGCTCGGTCCTCTGCTTTCCTGCCGGTCGGTCATTCAGCACCTCTCTCCTGTGGAGGGGGAGGAGGAAGACGAGTTCTTTAACCACTGTTACTCCCAGACACTGAACTGGGAGCTCTCACGGGTGGAATCTCTATTAGACAGTTTTGGTTGTCCTCTTGGAGGAGGAGGAAGTCAGAGGATGTGATGATGTCCACCTGCAGACACAGGTGGTCAGTGGGCACAAGTGTGCTTAGCCACCAGGGGACAGCCCCGCAGCATGCCCGCTTTGGGCTTCAGCTCCCAATGTGGCTTTTTTTTTTTTTTTTAAGCTCTGGGGATCTGAGCTTCTGGGGAAACTTTTATTCTTCTACCTCCTGTCCCTACCATCCCACGTCACCTTCATCCCCCCGAGTCCTCATCCTTCCTGGGGTGGCTCGGAAGCTGTCGCCCATTCCTCCAGGCTCTGGATGAGGCTGCAGACCTCATCCAGGAGGTCTGTTCTCCACCTGGGGCTGCGTGTTTGGCTCTGATGTGGCACACACGGGTGATGAACTGGCTTCAGGCTGCGGACCCCTGGCCCAAGGGTTCATTTCTCGCTGCGTCCAGCTCCACTGAGATGGGCTTAAGTATGTCCACGTGGGGCTTCAGGAGCCACAAATCACTGCTCTGAAACTTGGGGGGTTGCATACTGTAATTCTGGGATGATCCCTGTAGAATCGGGGATGAGCAATCCAGTGGGTGGGATGGAGATGTGTTCTAGCCTGGGAGGTAAGGAGTTTAGGTTTAAGCCCAGCTTCTCTGGGCCTTGGTTACCCTGTGGGTAGGATGACCTGAGGTCGTTGGTGACTCTGGCCACAGTAGCCCGAGGCCCCGAGGGCAGGCCAGGCTGCAGGACTTGGAGGTGTATCCCCAGGAAGGACTCAGGGCAAGGGTTCCAGCCCCAGCTTAGTGCCTGGGTCTCTCCTGTACCGGGAAGGCACTGTCCCTGGCCATCTGAGGCCCCGCTGTGGCAGTGGACCTGGCCTTGTCAAAGACGCCGTCCCTCCAGATTGGAACACCCTGGGAAAGGCACAGCTCAGAAAGGCTACAGGATGATTTTGAGCAGGGAGGTTGTAGGACAGATGGAAAGGGTCTCCCAGCTTCTGAAATGTGAATAACTGTGAGTCTGAGTAGACTCCGGGAGTTGGTGATGCACAGGGAGGCCTGGTGTGCTGCGATTCATGGGGTTGCAAAGGGTCAGACATGACTGAGCGACTGAACTGACTGATGAGTCTGAGACCCTCTGGAAGCACAGGTGCATCAGGTCAGGACTGACCCAGGTCAGTACTGACCAAGGTCAGGGCGAGTTCCGGGAGGTGGGTGCTAAGAGGGACGTGCAGGCAGGAGAGGTGGTGTGGAAAGGCACCCCCCTCCACAGCGCCTGGCACTCCCTCCCTGCACTGGGGCAGCAATGCTCCTTTCCCCAGCTTGTCGGAAGAGTAAAGGATGAGTAACCTCCCAGACACGCTGCCCACACCCCGAAGGCAGAGGAAGCCTCTGTTCTTCCCCATGTTTCCCAGCCTGGCTGGGGTAACCATCCTGTATCCGGGGCCTTGCAGGCACTTGAGGTCTTCTGGAAAGCACAGGGCTGACGTTCTGCCACTGCCCCTTCAAATGTCATCCTTTGCTGGGCACCTTCCACACGCACGGCCCTGGGCTCCTGTTGACAGGCGCTGAGGTTCTCTGCTAACACAGGGCCTGGGCTTCCCCGGAGTCCAGGTCTTCTCTGATGGAGGCTTCCAAACAAGATACTTCTTCAGGCTCTGACTTTCAGGCCCAGATGTGACCTTGGGCAAGTCACTTCCCTTTGCTTGGCCTCAGTTTTCCCATCTGCCAAGTGGGAATAACGATCCTAGCTTCAACTGCTGAAGACTCCCAGGGTTGCCCCCAGGGGGCATGACCATTTCCTGACCGCCCTTCTCAAGGAAAGTATCCTTCCTTGGTTTCCTTCTAGGAAGCAGTTAGAATGAAGCCATGCTGACTGTCCCTGTGGGGTCTGCCTCATCCCTCCTTTATTCCTACCCAAAGCAGTCCCCATGAAGAGAAAAGGATTTTGGGGAGTTTTTGTTTGTTTTGCCTTTGTGTGTGTGTGTTTGTGTGTGTGTGTGTGTGTGTGTGTGTGTGTGTGTGTTTGGGAAGGGGTTTGCTGTGCCCGCTCCATCCCTTATGTTTATTTGATGTATTTTTCTTTTTGCCTTTTGCTCACCTTTCCTCCCCAGGAGCGGCTGCTGTGGCTTATAGACCTGATGGAGGTACCATCCTTCTTGCTGAGTGGGGCTGTGGGACTCCTTTAGCTGGGGTGGGAGCGGGGGGCTGTGACCCTTGCCCTCACCGCTGTGCACCACACCCAGCCCCGCGGGGAGACCAGGTTCTTCTGGGTGCTCTCTGTCTCTCCTGTTTGCCAGTCCATCAGGCTTTCCAGGCTCTGCAGTGAGAATGCCCTCAGTTCAAATCCCAGCTCTGCCAGTTCCTTGCTGTGTGACCTCAGGAAACGGTTTCGCCTCTCTGAGCTCAGTTTTATAAGATGAGGATGGCAGTTCTCTGCTGTGGAACTGTCAAGAGACCTCTTGGCCTTTGCCTGTGCCACACAGTCTGTCTGTCTGGAATGTTCTTTCCACTTCATATGGCGTGGCTATCTCTTGTGTGTGCTTCAGCCCTTAGCTCACATGCCTCCTCTTCCAAGCAGACTTCCCTGATCTTCTCAAGGGGGGTGACTTTCAGTCTCTGGATCCTTCAGCCCCCTGGGCTTCCTGCTATTATGGCTCCTGTGTCATTATAATTTAATAGTATGTTCCCCCCCAAAAAATAATATGTTCCAGCCTGGTCAGTTACCCCCCTTGACCATGGGGTGCTTGAGGGCACAATTGTGTTTGGAGTCACCATTGATTCCCTAATGCTCTCCATAGAGCCTGGTCCATATTAGTAATTTGGGCCTTTCTTAATAATATTGGTAGCTGGCATATGTCAAGAGTCTCCATGGCACGGTGATAATGCTTTCCAAGTATATCTTCTTTGATCCTCTTGGTAACTAGATGTGGCAAGTACTACCATGATTTCTATTTTACAGAGAAGAAAACTGAGGCTCAGGGAGAAGTGACTTGCTTGAGATTGCTCAGCTAGCGGATGGTAGAGTTTGGATTCCAACCCAGGCCTGCTTACCTCTGAGCTGGTGCTGTTAACACTGCACTCTGATTGTGATTCTTCCCTGAAGGAGCTCAACCAGATCCTTGTTAAGCATCATCTATCTATCTATCTATCGATCCATCTATCTATTTCTACCCTCTTCCTCCTTATCTTCCTTTTGTTCTGCTAGCAAATTTCGATTGAGTGATTGCTACATGCTGTGTACAGTTTCAGGTGCTGGGAATACACTGGTGAACAAGAAAGAAATCCTTTCTATTATGGGATTTAGATAGAGCAGGAGTGATAGACTAAACCAGATAAAGAACTGAAATACATGGTATGTTAAGTGGTGAAAAGTGCTAAGGAGAAAATAGGAAACAGGAAAGGGGCGTGGTCAGGAAGTGACAACCGAGTAGGACCTGGAAGAGGTAAGGAAGCTGGTCCTGCCCTCAGCTGGGGGAAGAGCATTTCCAGTGGGGGGAACAGCAGGTGCAAAGGCTTTGAGGTGGTGCCCCGAGTGTCTGAGCAAAGTCCAGGAAGCCACGAGGCTGGAGCCGTGAGGGGAAGGGCAGTGGCAGGTTAGTGCTGTGGACTTGGAGATTGTGTCTGAGTGAGATGGGAGCTGTTGGCAAGTTGGAACAGGGGCCGACATGGTCTGACTGGTCTGCCTTAGTTGCACCTAGATGCCACTGGTGGTTGAGAGTGGACGAGTGTGGGTTTGAACCAAAAACAGGTTCATTCTCAGGCAGCTTCTGGGGAGGTTGTGCAGCCTGAGCTGCTAAGACACGTGATAACAGGCTCTGCAGGGGTCAGCTCTTCCTGCTGCCTGGTCAATCCTGGCCTCAGTGTCTCTTGGGAACCCCCTCCCTCCACACACACACACAGGTCTCAGGCTAGACGCCCCACGATGCCTGCATGCGGGGCCACAGGACACACACCTCCTCCTGGAAGCCCCTCTGTGTGGGAATGCAGGGCACTAGACCCATCCTGGAAGTCAGGA